TACATTGAGACCTTATTTATAGACCCTAGAATACAATCTTTTACCAAATAGGATACTATTTAGTAGTCTTATTCCTATTCTAATTGGATTGTATAAACCTATCCCTATTTTAATAATATTGTATAAACCTATTCCTATTCTACTAGGATTATATAAACCTATTTCTATTCTAATAGGATTGTATAAACTTATTCATATTCCAACAATATACATCAGAGATGTTGGAATAGAATCACTTAAATCCCAGGAGTATACAAAATCATATATTTTACGTTAAGAGAAAAATCAGAGTAGTGATATCCACAATTATCCTAAGATCTTAAAGGATCATATTATTGATGACAAGAATATCCTCTATCAACCAACAGTTAACTGTTTTGCTTGGTTGTTAGCTAAGGAGGCAGTTTTGACACATTAAAACCTGAACAAAAGAGGTTTTCACCTGTGTTCGAGGTGATTTTCGTGTGAAGAGCAAGGAGTTAGAGTCAACCATCTCTTTTTACACTGCAAGTGGACAACACAGCTGTGGCAAATGTTCACCAACATGAGAGAGATTAAATGGGTGAAATTAGGAAGGAACAAAGAAGTTTTGAAGTGCTGGCAAAGGGATGGAAATGCAGGAAGAAAGGAGGAAAGATGGAAGATTGTCCCATCATGTATATGGTGGACAGTATGGCTTGAGAGAAACCAGAGATGTCATGAAGTAAAGCAGAGCAACATACAAAGATTTAAGCTTAATTGTTTAGCTCTGTATTATTTTTGGTGTAAACAAGTAAAATAGATAGCTCAGAAGTAATCAGCACAACTATAGACTGGCTGTAACTTGGTAGATATAGGATCCTATGTAATTACAACACTTTTGGAGGGTAACTACACTTTTGAGGTAGTATACATGTGGATAAATATAGATTAACTGTAACATTTCTCAAAAATAAAAAAAAAAAACATATGGGGGAACGTTCTTTTGAGAAAACAAATTTATGATCAGGTTCTTAAATCTAGCCATCCCTGTACCTGTCCAAGTAATCTTACAAATCTTGCCTAGCCATACAAATGTAGCAACTTTTATTATTTACATGTTAGTCGAGTGAAGAAGCTAGCAACACTGTCAGAGGAACTCATGAGAGAACGTGTTCCTCTAGCAGAATTGAAATTGCAATGAAGAAGTTGTTTTATGAAGACTTGGAGAATTGGAATTATGCAGTCTAATACTGCAAGGAGCTGGAGTTCAAGATATGGAAATATTACCATAAATTGAACACATGTATTAACTTTGAATTAAGAGGGAGAAGCCTGTTGCATAAAGAAGATCCAAACGAAGTTAAAGTAGAATTGGATTTATGGGAAAACTTGAATCAATTCCTGTTTGGATTGGAGAACTACAAGGCAGCTTCTACTTCTATATAAACAGCACGACACAAAGCTTTGGAGTTTAACCACACCTAAAGGAGAGGTGTCCTAGTGAAAAAGTCAGCAAAAAGAGTCTTGAAGAAAAAATTGTTGCTACGACGAAAGAACCTGCTCCTGTCAAGTTTTATCTGTATTGTTCTTGAGTTGTATAGTTAGTTTCTTATAGTGGTACCAGAACAAGGTCTTGATTACTTTATTAGTTGGTTGTGGTTGTTGAGAATATAATTAAATAATAAAAGTATTTAAAAGTGTGCTCTCTAACAGCTCAACAGTAGTAAGTGTGTTTTGTGTTTGTAAGGGACTTCATTGATAGATAGAGTCATTGGAGAGAAAAGTTAAGGGGGTAGAGATTGGGATTGTTGGGAACAGTTCCTTGGGTGTTACAAGGGCAATTGTAAATCTTAAATTGCTTGAGCTTAGTGGTGCGTTTGAGAAAATCCTACAGATGTAGGTTGTGGGTTTTGCCTCTCTTGAGCAGGGATTCTCTCTAAATACTTGTGTTTATTTAGTTTATACCACAATTTACCTTCTTGCATCATTGCTCAAAGAACCTTAATCTTTGAGTACATAGTACACAGCCAAACTAATAGAGCCGTTTTGACACAGGAAGTTTTTCCATTTTTGCAATTTTTTTTATACAAAAAATTTTTGGTTATATAAATATAAGATTTGGTTATACATTAGACTGACTTTTTGGTTAGTTTTTTGGAAAGGAGTTTTTCAAATTTGAAAAACTGGTTTTGACTTGATTTTCAAGTGAATTTATTTCCATTTGCCCAGGGGATTTTCTGGTTTGTACGTACAGATCACTTTCTTAGAAGGCGTATGGACATAGATTTGGTTAAAATTTGGACAAAAGAATTTTTGAAGTTGAAAAATGGTATTTAGAAGTTGAAGTTGTGCAAGTGGAAATAAATTTTCACTTGAAGAAAGGCGTATATGGATATAGACTTCTGTAGTGACTTGATCAAATCTAACATATGGTTTTTATCCTTCACATCCTGTAAGTTGCACCAAAAAGCAAAGTTCTTTGTACTTTAAACATTTGTAGAGAGATAGCTTTCCCTTCAAACTACCTAACATTTCTTTCAGTCCACAACCCTACAGATACAAGCTGACACTGTAACCCTCAAACTTCTTGCTGGTTTCCTGATCCCACTTTTGTCCGAAACAGTCAACAGGTCTTTCAAACTGAAAGGCATGACAAAAGAGAAGTTGAAAATATTGAAAAACAGATTCCAAGTGGCCTCCACTGTGCAACGCAAAAAGCGATGGATGCTCAATTCGTCCTCTTTTTTTCTCTCACTACCAAGTCCCATTTAACAAGATGAAAGGCTATTTTTCTTTATTACCAATCCATAGGTAGTATATGGAAATATTAGGATTGGATGAATTTTAATCCACGCATGTGATATTACAGTTGCCTTGGTGGGTGATATATATTGCCTATTATTGTGGGTCTTATGGTTTCTATGTAGATTGTGTGGAGGATCAGAGTATTTTTATGTGACATTGGCACAAAGTCTTGTTAAATTTGTTTTTTCGGTGAACAAATTGGTATTTTCATCAAACTTGAGGGGCATTGTTGACATCCCAAAGCTACAAATGTTGGTAAACAGGACAAGACTAAATTGTTACTCCCTCTGTCCCATCTTTGCTCAACTGTCTGGTTTTACTTGTGTTAATTTGTAGGTTGACTGGGAGGACGAGAAAATTTGTTTTCAGACAATTGCTGCTGTCCTAGGAAATTTTTATGCCATGCATCCGCCATTATTGCCTAATCCCTCAGGTGATGGCTTGAAATTCTACAGAAAGAGAGTACTTTCAAGTGGTTCAGAAGTAACTTCAATAGATAACATAGGTAAGCAACTATTCTGAAAAACAAATTCCATTGTGTATCATGTACATATTGCAGGGTAGCAAGGGTTCATTTTGGTCCTAGAGAAGGAGCTACGCTCCTAGTCTGTGTAATTGATAGCCAGATCCTACTGCAATTTGGCACTTTAGGAAATCATTACACTTTAGGATCGCTGGGCCGTTAAATAAATAAACAGTTTTTTCTTTACCTTGTTGAGATTGCATATTCAGCATCGCCGGTGAGAGAATTAGGGATAACAATTAGGCATTAGCAGCGACAGCTGTGATTTAAACTTTGCAACTTCCATTTTTTTAAGATAGTAGTTAGCTTTAATCAGCTAAATGCTATGAAACAACTTATATTGCTATCCAAAACTAGAAGCCATAAGAAGATTATAGACCAACTTAATATATGTTGTGACTTGGGTAAAATCACGACCAAAATCGGGTAAGTGCGCCGATAGGTAAGCCAACCCAAAGTAACAAAACGAAATACCAAAACTTGGAATTAACATATAAGAATCATAATAAGTCATAAAACGATATAATTTTTAAAAACTCATACATATGCGGCAATAGATACAACTCTTCCCAAAACCTAGTGTTACTAGTACAAGCCTCTAAGAATGTCAATATACGATAATAACTACTACATTGTCTTTAAATACGAAAGACATGGACAAAACAAAAGGATATAAGAGATCCAGGAACTAATAGTGATGACTATAACTTTGTATTCTATATGGTGATTTTTGACATTCACTGAGTTTTACCGTTAATTGTTTCTCCTCCCAACACATTACTATGTGTTTATTTCATATTAATCTTGTGGATCATTTCTTAGCTAGGACTAACTTCTGAATTTGCTGTTACTAAGAGAATGATACCACGGAGGCTGAATTTGACGAAGAACTACGTTTGGAGGCTGAAAATGCCTGGGCTCAACGTGAATGGTCAATTCAGCATGTTCTGTTTCCCTCCCTCAGGCTCTTCTTCAAGCCCCCTACTTCCATGGTTACAAATGGAACTTTTGTTCAGGTAAGTAAAACTTCTCTTCTTCGTTGTCATCTTACTTTACATATTTTTTCTATCAAGATTTAGTGTCAGAATCTCTCATTCCTATAATTTCCAGAGGGAATGAATAGGAAACTTAAAATTGAAAAGGAGTGAAAAAAGCATAAATCTCCGGTGTAGTCTTTTCTAGGCAGATATTCAGTCTCTCCCCACACGCTTTTTCCGTCTTTCAACTGTTCTTTTTGTAGATGTTATCTTGAGGCGCCCATGTTTATGATATTGATCATCTATTGTCTTATTATAGGTTGCATCACTGGAAAAGCTCTACAGAATTTTCGAGAGATGTTAAACCTAGGAGAATTTTGATGTGGCCTCCTTGAAGCAAAAGGATGTAAAATGTACAGTTTCTGATTTGAGAAGGAAATTCCCTGGCCCCTACCCCCAAAGAACCAAAATATGAAAAACTGGTTCAACTTTTTTTTTGGTGTGAAGACAACCACCCCCCTACATCAAACGTTTTATTGTGAAAAGAAGCAAAAATGGAAGGAATACATTTTGTCTCTTTTACTCTATTCCATCAAACTAGTGGTGTAGACATGGTGTTATACGCAAGAAATGAGTTAAGCAAATAGGAGTTCAAAAGAAAATTTACTTTTCTTGATTACTCGATAAACCAATGATGCCAATAAACCTAATCTCTACTGAAAATCAGCAACATGTTAAAAACTGAAAGCAAGATATTTCCTTACTGGGAAACTATTCTTATTATACACAAAAATGATGTTTTCATAACAACCAAGTAATCAAGCAAACAACCAAGATTACTTGCATATAACATATTTTACACATTTTAATCAAACATAAAGTTGATACTTGTGATTGTATTTTACAGGGAAAAAGCGAGATCATTCGCCAATTTCACCGGTTACTTGAATAACATCAGAATTGCAAAATCTGTGTGGACGGATTTTCCATGTAAAAGCCATAACAAATAATTTAGGTCTTCCTGTATATTGAATAAATTTTTCAAGGGTTATTGCTGGATATAATCACTAGTTATTGCTTATAACTTATTATCAATTATCCATTTAAACTTACATGTTACATCCTATAGAATTGAAAGTTTGGTTCTTCAATTAGATGTCTCTTGGTTTCTTGGAAATTTAAAAAAAAAAATCAATTACCAATACTGATATTTGAGGCCAAAAAGTTTTAAAGATCTACTCCTTCCGTCCAGTTTTGTTTGTCATGGTTTCTATTTTTAGAGTCAAACTATAAAAATTTTGACTAATATTTTAAGATGTATTTTTTCATTATATTAATATGCAAAAAATTGTAATTTATAGTACTTTTCATATAGTTTTAGAATATCTAATTTTTTTGTTTAAAATATCGAATTAATATGATCTAATTTATCTTTGAAAATTAATCAAATTGACTTTCGGGAGTATTTCATTTCCTTAATTTATTTGGCATTTTTATTCTCAAAAGGTCAACCCTATTTATTGCAACAAGTCCAATATTCCTAAAATTTCTAAAATTCAATATTGGATTTAATTTTCATTTTTTTTTATCATAACAGAAAATATTTTTGTTCATAGCAAACACACCTTTAAAAAGAGAAAAGATTAAGAGAAAAAAATTTAAATGGAAATATATATTTCTCAACTTAATAAGAAGCAAATTCGTAATATAGATATCCATATTATTTATTGAATTTATTCATTTAAATATGAGTTGAGATAAATATTTTATTTATGTTTATCTAGTTATTTTTAATCAATTCATAATCCAACTCGATCAGCTTATTTTTCACCTCTGGTGATAGAGGTAATGGAGCATTGAGAACAAAATGAAATAAGAAAAGTTACATAGCCGCATAGAGTGATCAAACTATTGAGTATGACTGAAGGAAAAAAAATAAAAGATACAAATTTCAAACTTTTGAGTATGATTGAAGAAAAGAAGTTCAAACTATTGACTATGAAAGAAATAAAGGGAAAATAGTAAAAACTGTTCTTAAATTATGTGAAATGATTAAAAATGTCATTCGTTTATAGTTTGGCTTAAAAATTGTTCTTATCGTCAATGTTTTACTTCAAAAATGCTCTTGCAGTCAATACTTTGATCTAGAAATGCCCATATAGTTACAAAATAGGTCAAAAATGCCCTTTTCCAAATAAATATTTTTCCTTTTTAGGCACATCTTCTTCCTAATTAAATATATTCAAGAACACTATTTTTGTTTTCTTTCTTTTAAAATCACTTTAACAAATAAAAATATAGAAATATTTTTTTTTCTTAATCTCATTTTATTAATTAAAATAAAATAACTTCATGTACGCTTTCAACAGATAATATATAATATATATATAAGATAATGGTAAATTCATAATTGATTTATATTTATATAACAATAAAAAAATGATAATAGAATAAGAAATATTCCCATTTATTTTTTTCCTCATTTGAAGATAAATATTTGCTAATTTAAAAAATATTATTAAAAAAATGTATGAAAAAGAAAATAATAATATATTTATTTAAAAAATGAGCATTTTGACCCATTATATAACAATAACGGTATTTTATGACCAAAGTATTGACGGTAAATGCATTTTTGAACCAAACTACAAACGGAGGACATTTTTTTCATTTCGCATAATTTAAGGATATTTTTGAGCCAAAGTATTGACGGTAGTGCATTTTTTAGCCAAATATAAACAAAGGGTATTTTTGTTCCTTCATAGTTTAAGGACATTTTTGACCATTTTTCAAAAAATAAAAATTCCAAACTATTGACTATGAAGAAAAAAATAATTCAAATTATTGACTTGTGGTGTAAGCAATTTTCTGATTGGCTCTCACAATGGATCAAAATCCTTTGATTTTTTTTTGAAAGAAATGCACTTAATATTAGGAATTGGCAAAAAAGTCTGATGAACCCTTATACTCGTGTGAGTTTGTATTGTAAACTCATTCTACTTTCGCCTTTATCATCTAGATCCCTGAATCCATACAAGTACAAGATTTTATAAAACACTTTTCTTTAATATTTTACGAGCAAAGTTAGTTCAAGTATATAAAGAAGTACTCCCTCTATCCGAGATTATATGATTGCCTTTTAGCTACTTCAAAAACAATTACACATTTCTATATTAAGTACCAATTTAATTTAAAAATATTCATTTTATTTATCCTTAATAAAGTGACAATTTTAGACCACAAATATTAAAAGTGTTCGTGGTGAGTCAAAAGTAATTGAGATGTAATAAATAAGGCAGGCAGGTTGAAGGAGAGGTGCAAAATAAGAGTATGATCAAAGCACTTGTAACCAATATGCTGAATGTTGGGTAAGCTATCGTCGCATAAACCAAGTAACCCTCAATCTCCAATGCAGAATTGTTCAACTAATGTTAATAATATTTCATATAATCCAGATGCTGCTTTTTGCTCTATCAATATTGGTATACAAAATGTACATACAGTATTATACACTATCTCCACCAATCTGGCACTTTCAACCTTCTGTTCCTATGTACATCAAGTTGGGTAGCAGGAAGCTTGTGCTTCACCTCCCTCCATATCATGTTTACAGCATCACCCTTTTTCGGAGGGTATTGGTACTCAAAATGATGGCTAATGTTCTTAAGATAGCCCCACATTTCAACCCATCTTGCTTTTGAAACACTCCTCAGCTGATCAAGCATGTATCCTTCTTTCTTTGCCTCCTCACGTGAGAAAAACATCGAGAATTTGGTATAGTCTAATTCATCCTCAAAAGGTAGCTCAATTTTGTCACTCACAATTACAGGAACACAATGGCTCACTATTGCATCAAACAGGCGGCAAGATGATGGGGTGTCCCCTGCTGGATGTAGACAGAACTTTGACAAACGCATCCCATTTGTTGACTGAAATACAAAGGGAAAACTATAAGTACAGGTAACAAGTACAGCCAATTAGTTAGGTGGGGGGACCTTTTTCTTTAATAAGGTAGGTGACGGACTTTCTTAATCTCTCAACTGCAGTGGTACACCTTGTGATAAAACCGGCAGGTCAATGGAACGGCCAATTATTAAGGATCCAACATGTGGCATTATACTAAAGTACATTGCAATGTGATCTCCTATATTCCAGTTGTAACAACAAAGAGATGTCACCCAATTAATAAGTTTGGATAGCTAAACAACTTACTTCATTTACACCTTTCCCTGAGATTCCTGCTGCTTCAAAGACAACATCCTTCTGACCACTCAACATGTCTTTCATTTGCTGACGGTCTTTTCCATCCTGCAACATGAACAGAGTCGTAACAATTTTCATCATTTGAGAATACATGATTTTTGGTGGGGAAAAAAAAATAGAGTACAATATTCTCAAATGATTTGATTCAAATAAATCAATTATTTGAGCATATATGATTGGTTTATTCAGAATTCGATAAGCATACATCTTTTCTGTCTGTCCTCCCACGGAAGAAAAGAAGCGTTGTGCGGGACTCATATGGGTCTGAATTATCATCAGCTTCAAAAGTTTCAACCACGTGTGCATATGGGGCCACTACATCTTTCCTCAAATTAGACACTGTTGGAGGAGGACGACCAAAATCTGCCACAATGAAAATAGCAGCATTCACCTTCTCCCGGTAACGCTTGAAAGCATTTGGATGATGCATTGGAATCACATGATCCCGACCAGCAGACCTCTTCCAATGTTCAGACTTTTGCAAGAAGTCCACAATTTCAGCCTGTTAGAAGAATTAAGCCAATGCAAAAACAGAATAATTATTACAGGAAGGAATACTAGAATAACACTAGTACTACATCCCAATTCTAAACCAATCTGATCAGTTATATAAATTACTTCACCGATATACCTATCTTTGTGCAAACTAAAAAGACTCTTGAAACACCAATCCTAATGTGCGCGTGCCAACACCATAAAACTCAATCCCAACTAATGTACGCATACCAACAGCATAAAATTAATCCCAAATAATGTATGTGTACCAACACCATAAAACTTAATCCAAAATAATGTACGTGTACCAACACCATAAAACTTAATCACAAATAAGGTATTGCACCATCAAACTTAATCCTAATTGAGACTCTTAAAACAATAATCCTAATTTTCCTGTTCTTGCCATGTACTCTTGCTTCAACCCAGCTGTGCAGCGTATGATTTTCCGAGGCATAGTCCAGGAACTATTTTTTAGCCTAAGAAATACTCTCTCCATAACTGACTAGTGACCTTGCAGTGTATGAATAGGTGGACCACTTCTTCTGTAGTTCACCCACAGAAAAAGTTCTTCAAAGAAAAAACAATTGAAGCATAGTGGGGTTCCCCTCTTCATCAGGTTATCTTGTGTCAGCACAACTTCCTTTGCCAATAGCCATACAGGGCAGACTATTTTATGTGGAATTTGGCTTTCCAAATATGTTTCCAAGGCCATTTAATTAATTGCTTGTTTGGATGGTTTAGCTTCCTTTAGTCTGCATTTACTTCAAAAGTCCCTTTGCTATTTCCTTGCCACTATAGGATGTCTTGTTCCATCTTCAAACCACTGAACTGATCAATGGTGTTGAAAAATTCTATAACTCTTGGAATTTCTCAGTCATTGAGATGTCTCCTAAATACAAAGTTCAACCCCTTGAGGTGTCCATAATTCTGCTATTGTGCCCTGCGGATGTGGGGCTAGGTTGTATATATCTTGAAATAGTATCTCCATATTGCCTGCTTCATGCCAATCATCGTTCCAAATAATTGTTTTAGCTCCAGCCTCCATCTACCACTTCAATCTTGGTGTTGACTTTGAATTCATTGCACAACATTCTGATGGATTTCCATAAGCTAACACCATAGGGAGAAGTAACTTCCTTTGTCATCCAGTTATCCTTTTCCTCATATTTGGCTTTAATGACAGTGCCCCACAGGTTCTGATTTTCATTAAAATACTTTCAAAGCCACTTGGTTCTGAAAGATTTACTTTGGTTCTTCAGGTTCTTGATCCCCAAACTCCCAGTTTTCTTCTCAATGGTCATTTCCTTCCATTTTACTAGATGGAAGCCCTTGCTATCTTTGATTCCTTGACATAGATATTTCTTCTTATTGGGATCCAACCTATTGATGATTTTTGCTGGGACAGGAAATAAAGCCAGCATAAATATTGGAAGTGCTTCAAGCACAA